TGAGACCAGCATACCCAATGGGTTCAATAATAATTTCTGTTGGGTATTTTCTAGGAAGGACCCTTGAAATGAAAGGTTTTATGAATGAGACCAGCATACCCAATGGGTTCAATAATAATTTCTGTTGGGTATTTTTCTATGGGGAAGGACCCTTGAAATGAAAGGTTTTATGAATGAGACCAGCATACCCAATGGGTTCAATAATAATTTCTGTTGGGTATTTTCTAGGAAGGACCTTGAAATGAAAGGTTTTATGAATGAGACCATACCCAATGGGTTCAATAATAATTTCTGTTGGGTATTTTTGAAATGAAAGGTTTTATGAATGAGACCAGCATACCCAATGGGTTCAATAATAATTTCGGTTGGGTATTTTCTAGGAAGGACCCTTGAAATGAAAGGTTTTATGAATGAGACCAGCATACCCAATGGGTTCAATAATAATTTCTGTTGGGTATTTTCTAGGAAGGACCCTTGAAATGAAAGGTTTTATGAATGAGACCAGCATACCCAATGGGTTCAATAATAATTTCTGTTGGGTATTTTCTAGGAAGGACCCTTGAAATGAAAGGTTTTATGAATGAGACCAGCATACCCAATGGGTTCAATAATAATTTCGGTTGGGTATTTTCTAGGAAGGACCCTTGAAATGAAAGGTTTTATGAATGAGACCAGCATACCCAATGGGTTCAATAATAATTTCTGTTGGGTATTTTCTAGGAAGGACCCTTGAAATGAAAGGTTTTATGAATGAGACCAGCATACCCAATGGGTTCAATAATAATTTCATTGGGTTAGGAAGGGTATTTTCTAGGGAAGGTACCCTTGAAATGAAAGGTTTTATGAATGAGACCAGCATACCCAATGGGTTCAATAATAATTTCGGTTGGGTATTTTCTAGGAAGGACCCTTGAAATGAAAGGTTTTATGAATGAGACCAGCATACCCAATGGGTTCAATAATAATTTCTGTTGTTAGGTATTTTCTAGGAAGGACCAATGGGTTCAATAATAATTTGTTGGGTATTTTTGAAATGAAAGGTTTTATGAATGAGACCAGCATACCCAATGGGTTCAATAATAATTTCTGTTGGGTATTTTCTAGGAAGGACCCTTGAAATGAAAGGTTTTATGAATGAGACCAGCATACCCAATGGGTTCAATAATAATTTTTGTTGGGTATTTTCTGGGAAGGAACCCTTGAAATGAAAGGTTTTATGAATGAGACCAGCATACCCAATGGGTTCAATAATAATTTCTGTTGGGTATTTTCTAGGAAGGACCCTTGAAATGAAAGGTTTTATGAATGAGACCAGCATACCCAATGGGTTCAATAATAATTTCTGTTGGGTATTTTCTAGGAAGGACCCTTGAAATGAAAGGTTTTATGAATGAGACCAGCATACCCAATGGGTTCAATAATAATTTCTGTTGGGTATTTTCTAGGAAGGACCCTTGAAATGAAAGGTTTTATGAATGAGACCAGCATACCCAATGGGTTCAATAATAATTTCTGTTGGGTATTTTCTAGGAAGGACCCTTGAAATGAAAGGTTTTATGAATGAGACCAGCATACCCAATGGGTTCAATAATAATTTCTGTTGGGTATTTTCTAGGAAGGACCCTTGAAATGAAAGGTTTTATGAATGAGACCAGCATACCCAATGGGTTCAATAATAATTTCTGTTGGGTATTTTCTAGGAAGGACCCTTGAAATGAAAGGTTTTATGAATGAGACCAGCATACCCAATGGGTTCAATAATAATTTCTGTTGGGTATTTTCTAGGAAGGACCCTTGAAATGAAAGGTTTTATGAATGAGACCAGCATACCCAATGGGTTCAATAATAATTTCTGTTGGGTATTTTCTAGGAAGGACCCTTGAAATGAAAGGTTTTATGAATGAGACCAGCATACCCAATGGGTTCAATAATAATTTCTGTTGGGTATTTTCTAGGAAGGACCCTTGAAATGAAAGGTTTTATGAATGAGACCAGCATACCCAATGGGTTCAATAATAATTTCTGTTGGGTATTTTCTAGGAAGGACCCTTGAAATGAAAGGTTTTATGAATGAGACCAGCATACCCAATGGGTTCAATAATAATTTCTGTTGGGTATTTTCTAGGAAGGACCCTTGAAATGAAAGGTTTTATGAATGAGACCAGCATACCCAATGGGTTCAATAATAATTTTGGTATTTTTGGGTATTTTCTGAATGGAAGGACCCTGTTGGGTATTTTTGAAATGAAAGGTTTTATGAATGAGACCAGCATACCCAATGGGTTCAATAATAATTTCTGTTGGGTATTTTCTAGGAAGGACCCTTGAAATGAAAGGTTTTATGAATGAGACCAGCATACCCAATGGGTTCAATAATAATTTCATGTTGGATATTTTCTAGGAAGGACCCTTGAAATGAAAGGTTTTATGAATGAGACCAGCATACCCAATGGGTTCAATAATAATTTCTGTTGGGTATTTTCTAGGAAGGACCCTTGAAATGAAAGGTTTTATGAATGAGACCAGCATACCCAATGGGTTCAATAATAATTTCTGTTGGGTATTTTCTAGGAAGGACCCTTGAAATGAAAGGTTTTATGAATGAGACCAGCATACCCAATGGGTTCAATAATAATTTCTGTTGGGTATTTTCTAGGAAGGACACTTGGGAAACAAAAAGGTCTATGAAATGAAAGGTTTTATGAATGAGACCAGCATACCCAATGTGTTCAATAAGGATTTCTGTTGGGTATTTTCTAGGAAGGACACTTGAAATGAAAGGTTTATGGATGAGACCAGGATATCCAATGTGTTCAATAATGAGACCAGATTTATTTGTTGGGTATTTTCTAGGAAGGACCCTTGAAATGAAAGGTCTATGAAAGAGACCAGCATACCCAATGTGTTCAATAATAATTTCTGTTGGGTATTTTCTAGGAAGGACCCTTGAAATGAAAGGTTTTATGAATGAGACCAGCATACCCAATGGGTTCAATAATAATTTCTGTTGGGTATTTTCTAGGAAGGACCCTTGAAATGAAAGGTTTTATGAATGAGACCAGCATACCCAATGGGTTCAATAATAATTTCTGTTGGGTATTTTCTAGGAAGGACCCTTGAAATGAAAGGACACTTTCTATGAATGAGACCAGCATACCCAATGGGTTCAATAATTATTTCTGTTGGGTATTTTCTAGGAAGGACCCTTGAAAAAAATGAAAGGTTTTATGAATGAGACCAGCATACCCAATGGGTTCAATAATAATTTCTGTTGGGTATTTTCTAGGAAGGACCCTTGAAATGAAAGGTTTTATGAATGAGACCAGCATACCCAATGGGTTCAATGAAATAAGGTTTTGAATGTTGGGTAATTTTCTAGGAAGGACCCTTGAAATGAAAGGTTTTATGAATGAGACCAGCATACCCAATGGGTTCAATAATAATTTGGTTGGGTATTTTCTAGGAAGGACCCTTGAAATGAAAGGTTTTATGAATGAGACCAGCATACCCAATGGGTTCAATAATAATTTCTGTTGGATATTTTCTAGGAAGTACCCTTGAAATGAAAGGTTTTATGAATGAGACCAGCATACCCAATGGGTTCAATAATAATTTCTGTTGGGTATTTTCTAGGAAGGACCCTTGAAATGAAAGGTTTTATGAATGAGACCAGCATACCCAATGGGTTCAATAATAATTTCTGTTGGGTATTTTCTAGGAAGGACCCTTGAAATGAAAGGTTTTATGAATGAGACCAGCATACCCAATGGGTTCAATAATAATTTCTGTTGGGTATTTTCTAGGAAGGACCTTGAAACAAAAGGTTTATGAATGAGACCAGCATACCCAATGGGTTCAATAATAATTTCTGTTGGGTATTTTCTAGGAAGGACACTTTGAAAAAGGTCTATGAATAAAGACCAGCATACCCAATGTGTTCAATAAGGATTTCTGTTGGGTATTTTCTAGGAAGGACACTTGAAATGAAAGGCCTACGGATGAGACCAGGATATCCTATGTGTTCAATAAGGATTTATGTTGGGTATTTTCTAGGAAAGACACTTGAAATGAAAGGTCTATGAAAGAGACCAGCATACCCAATGTGTTCAATAAGGATTTATGTTGGATATTTTCTAGGAAGGACCCTTGAAATAAAAGGTCTATGAATGAGACCAGCATACCCAATGTGTTCAATAAGGATTTATGTTGGGTATTTTCTAGGAAAGACACTTGAAATGAAAGGTCTATGAAAGAGACCAGCATACCCAATGTGTTCAATAAGGATTTACGTTGGGTATTTTCTAGGAAGGACCCTTGAAATGAAAGGTCTATGAATGATAGCAGCATACCCAATGTGTTCAATCAGGATTCATGTTGGGCATTTTCTATGCAGGACACTTGAAATGAAAGATTTATGAATGATACCAGCATATATTATGTGTCCGATAAGAGTTTCACTTTTTCAGATCAGTGATTAAAATGGCCTGTAAGTCTTAGAGAAGACCTTCCTTTTTCGAATCTCGTGGAATCACCCTGCAGAATCACAAACAAAACATATTCCAACAAATAGAAACCACATTATTTGAGAACTTTGAAGAGCAGCAACAATATTTTTTTAATTATTTCACCCCAAGCAAGGCAATAAAGCCCCTAAGACGTAATGTGTTAAAATGGATAGAATGTGTAGCCTGTAGAGAAAATAATGATATCACGAAACTTCTAATTTTCCATGCTACCAAAAGCCATAACTTTGCGAGTTTGGTTGGATGGCTGATTTTGTATATCAACCTCTATCGATTATTTAATGCCAAAATCTAAATACTTTTTAAATTAATAATGGCCTTAGGGATACATGCTTTACTAATTAACCCAAGTAGATTTCTACCTTTGCCAAGAGTGTTTGCGCGTAAGTAAATATTACGAACGTAACTGGAATCGGAGCTCGGCTCTCTGATTGACAATTCCGAGTCGTTATCCACTATAGCATCTGCACATCTAAGCTTACAGCACCTGGTATTCCCAAGAAGTCACCCATCTACATACTGACCAGGCTCGACATTGCTTACCTTCGATGACCATACGGGAACCAATGTTTCAACGTGATGTGGCCATAAGCCAGTTTTGGGAGGCAATACAACTAAATATTGGAAAGAGCGATAAACGATTAGGGGACTTGAAAAACTTATTTTCCTGAAAACTGTTCTAAGAAAAAGATTTCATAAATTTCTTGGTGACTGAATAAAACCCAGAGCCTGAATTAATTGAAAACTTGTTAAACCAGTCTCCCATAATTATCTTACAGTCCAAAAATTAAATATCCCATTGTCATCCTTGACAAAGCCTAATAGTTACAACGGCTATTGTTAATGAAAATAATAAAACAATTCGCTATTCAAATGCTATAAAGCATGTACTTTTCAACTTTTATACCTTTTACTCAAACAGTGACATGGGTGAACATTGATTAGCTTTTGTTAATTATATCTGAACCCTTGTTAACAACTGTTAGAATCTTTGGGTACTTTGTGTACTAGTGAGCTAACCAAAATGAGCTGACTCATTTTATAGTCCACCAATAGAAGGGTTAACCAATCAGAAGGCTCAAAATATTCAATCCGACGTGTATAAAGGCAGCCATTTTGTTTTTTCTCCCAAAATATCTTCACTGCCAACCTCTAATATCGAAGACTTAAAGAATTACTTAACAGCTGCTACTTTCTCCGAATTTTAACTGCCAACCTCTGATATTGAACACATTACGGACTTCACTGGATTCTATATTCAGAGACTACGGCAAACATGGTTAACAACAACCTCCTCGGATTTTCAGGCCTCATTTAACACTGTAAAATTCTTAATAAAATCCAAAGAAGAATCTGCATTGTTATTGGTCCTGACCGGTATCTCGGCTTCAGTCACTTTCCCACCGCCGGAATGTAGCTTCCGTGTGTTTTTTCTGTAAATAATTTCGTGGTATTTGTTCTAATGAACATTCCTCTACGGTGCCTAGACTTTATGAATTTAAGCACAGTGCGAGATTGGTGGGAAGGTTGCCTCAATTTACCGTTGATATGGCTCTCGATATAACCGTAATTTCTATGTTAATAGTTTCGTACTTCTCGCTTGCGGTACTCTCAGTCAAAAGCTTAAATGCAATCTCAATAGCTAACTACTGCCCTCCTGAATACACTTCTTTTGTTCTCACTTCCGCATTTATCACCTGTAGAACTCTCTACCGGTGTACCGCTTTCCAGTCAACTTTGATCTTCGAAAATTTAAACGCAATATCAATCGTTGTTTTCTGACTTCTTAATTCCTGTTCTTTTATCATTCTCTTTCCTTAATAGTGTTCTTTTTTCCTCATAATCTCTAACACTCAGTAACCCCTTACGTCTTAGTGGCTTTATTGCCTTGCTTGGGGTGAAATGTAAAAAAAGTAGAATACCAAAATATCCATTTCACTGTTTTTTTTCATGCTGACCTTCCGATTTTTTTCATTCGGGTGCATTATCTCTTTCCCAGGAATCAAATTCTGGAATGAGTGTCTCGTCGTCCGTCAGATAAGCAGAGGACAGGATACACGGATGTCATGGGGAAGTTTCACAGTGCCCAAGCACCGAACTACATTACAAGACAATGAGTGCCTAATATGTTGCACGTTGGGACCTTGTTTACCCTGTGTAGTAAAAGTGAAGGTGGCCGAGCGAGGAAAAACACGGGTCGACCTTACAAAACTTGACAAGCGTATTTATGTTTAATTTCCTAAGGTTGTTTGTTGGCCTCGGTCACTTCCTCGTCTCTCTTGTTTTAAGGTGTTCCTTTAACATCGTTCTGTACCTTTCAAGACATCAATGCATACACCTGCTTTATTGAGTAGAAAAAATATATACAGGGATTTTGAACATGCGGACAAATCAAGAGACAAAAACTGATTATTTGCATACAAAACTTTGGGCACTTTTTTTCCCTCCTCTCCTATGACATAGCTACACTCGTAAACGGATACACACGTACACGTACGCATACACATACATACACGCAAATACATGCACACAGCACAGACGTTTACATACAACTTTAACTTCTCATATTACACACGCTCATCAATCTATTTTTCTTTTTCCTATGTGTGGTTGTTATTTTTATTTTTATTACTTTCTTTTACTTTTGTTATATTTTGTCTTCTATCTCTCTCTCTCTCTCTCTCTCTCTCTCTCCCTCTCTCTCTCTCTCCCTCTCTCTCTCTCTTCCTCTCTCTCTTCCTCTCTCTCTATCTATCTATCTCTTTCATTCTACCAGTTTTATCTTTTCCGCCCTTTATCTTGTTCTCGTTGTTTCTCTCTCTTTTTCTTTCTCTCTCTCTTTTACTCTCACGCTTTCTCTCCTTTTTATATATATATATATATATATATATATATATATATATATATATATATATATCCTTCTGTCATTTTTTATCTTTTCCACTTATACCTCCTTTCCTTGTCTGTCTCGCTCTCTCTTTCTCTACCTATTTATCTCTATATCTATCTCACTCTACATTCCCTTCTGACATTCACACATCTTTTCCTTCTCTCCCTTGTATCTCTGTTCATTATCTATTTATCTATCGTTTCCTTATCTATCTCAGGCTTTTCATTATTTCTCTCTGTCTCTGTCTCTGTCTGTCTGTCTGTCTGTCTGTCTGTCTCTCTCTCTCTCTCTCTCTATATATATATATATATATATATATATATATATATATATTCATTTCAGGTTCCTTTCTTCCTTCCCTGTCTCTCTCACTTTTCGCTCTCTCTGTTTCTGACATTTTTATCTTTCCCATTCTATTCTATTTCTCTCTATCCCTCTGTCCTTGTCTCACTGTCTGTATGTATGTATGTCTCTCTTTCTCCGTTTCTGTCATTTTTCATACTTTCAACTCACTCACGCTTTCCCCCTCTTTCCCTCAATCCCTCCCTCACGCTTTCTCTTTCTTTCTGTCATATTTTACCTTTTCCCCTCACACGTTATTTCCTTCTCCATCGTTCTGAAGGGACATGGTATTTAAAAACTTAAGCATCCACTGAGGACTGAATTCACTACGCTAGTATAATCTTGCTAATGCAACCATTTAAATGTATGTATTCACTACACTTAGCTCAATGCTACAGTTTAAGATCACCCAGTTACGATCAAGCTCAACACACTACTGTAGTATCATGACGGAAAAGATTTTGCACTCAATTTCAAACTCGACCAAAGAAGCCAGGTGCAGAATTGAACTGAGGTTACTTCCGGCGATTGAATACAAATTCATGAGACCTCACAGATGCATCTGCTTTTACAAACCGGGGAACGACATTCATGAGAAAACTATATAAACAATCGTTCAAGAGAGTATTTGGACAATCTCTCAGAGATCGCAGACGAGAATGTAAGATCCACATTTCAGACTAGGAGCGACGGGGGCCGCTTACACATAGTGATTGTGAGTAAATTAGCGAAGTGTTTGAGTGGCATTAAATGTAACGTTAAATATAAAAGAATCAAGTTTCGCGTTATTCATTACTTCTCACGTGTTATCATTTAATCGGCACAACTTTATTCCTTTACTATTCGAAAAGATTTTGCTAATGCAACTGTCTAGATATATGTATTGATTACATTTAGATCAATCTCATTTAAGGTCACAATTAGGGGTCTCTCGTTTAGGATCGGACTCTGTACACAGGACAAGCTTGCAAACAAGAACTTTATATAGTTATGCGCGCACTTCTTTCAAACGCCTACATGAATTCAACCAAATTCGTTGAGTGGCATATCAAAATTAAGCGATACTGAAAAATCGAAGACTTTATAGAAAAACGCAAAGTTTGGGAGACAAATGAATCGTTAGGTATATCGATAAATATATTTATCTATAAATACATTTCCGATGATTATGATACATTTGTCTAAGTATATAAATATATATTCTAGGTCCATATTTCTACGTTTTTACAGTTATAAATACATTTTCTAGGAATATTATATGTATATTTTTCGACAGTCGTTAATACATTTTCGATGTATCTTTTCTGCATTCCCTACTACTATAAAATCATTTTATATATATATATATATTATATATATATATATTTTATATATATTTTTTATTTATACTTTATATACTATAAATGCTTTTTCTACAGACAAATATTTATCGATGTATATCTTTTTCTGCGTTTTCTATGGTTATAAATGTATTTATATTTTTTGTGCGTTTTCTACGATTATAAATATATTTTCGATGTATATTTTTCTGCGTTTTCTATGGTTATCAAGATATTTTCGATGTATATATTTTTCTGTATTTTCTACGGTTATAAATACATTTCGATGAACATCTTTTGTGTCTTTTTTAGCCGAATATGAAAATATTTCAATATATATATATATATATATATATATATATATATATATATATATATATATATATATATATGATGCACCATGTACGGTTATCAATATATTTTCGATGTACATCCTTTTCTACTGACATTATTCGAACTGTTATCCTCATCTTTATTGCCATATTCACAACGTTTCGGTCGATGTACGCTCCAGCTTTCTTTAGGTGATTGGAACTTCAAGCCGAATCCTTTATTTCGTTCACCGGGGTAGATTGCTCTATCCAATGGATAAAGGCGTTGGTTAGATCCAGTGACTAGACCCAAAGAGTTGTGAGCTCAATACCAGACGACAGCAGTGGTGAATCACAACTTGGAGAGTTGAATTAAAGGGAAATAACTGAGACATCAAGAAAAGGCATGGCACGCGGAACTAGAATAATCTACCACGGTGGACGAAATAAAAGGTTCGAATCAAAATTCCAATCAGCTGAAGAAGGCCGAAGCGTACAACGGCAGAAACGTTGTGAATATGGCAATGAAGATGAGGATAATAGTTCGAATAATGTAAATAATGTAAGTAATCATAATATCTCATCTCAGAGATATTGACAAACATCTTTTTCTACGGTTTATATATGTTCAATGTATATAGTTTCCTGCGTTTTCTAGGTTTATAAATATATTTCTGATGTATAGTTCTTTCTGGCTTTTAGTAAATTATAAATGTATTTTTAATGTCTATCTTTTTCTGAGTTTCCTACAATTATATTTGTGTATATCCTTTTCTACATTTTCGCCGGATATAAATAAATTTTCATTATATACTTTTTCTACATTTCAATGTATTTTCGATGTATATTTTTCTGCGTTTTCTGCAATTATAATTAGATTTTCGAGGTATATAATTTTCCTGTGTTTTCGTCGGATATAAATAAATTTTCAATATATATTTTTCAACGTTTTCCAGAGTTATAAATATATTTTCAACGTATATCTTTTTTATGATCTTACTACAGCTATAAATATATTTTTGATGTATATCTTTTTGTGCGTTTTCAATGGATATCAATATATTTTGGATGTGTATCTATTTCTACTTTTTCTACAGTTATAAATACATTTTCCATGGATATATTTATCTGCGTTCTCTACAGTTATGCTCGATGTATGGCTTCTTCTTCGTTTTATCCGGATATATTTTCAATGTATAATTTTTGTGCGTTTTCTTCGGGTATAAATAAATTTTCAGTGTATATCTTCTTCAGCGTTTTCGCCGGATATAAATATATTTCGAGATATATCCTTTTCTGCGTTTTTTGCGGTTATAAATACATTCTCGAGGTATATATTTTCTGCGTTTTCTACAGTTATAAATAGATTTTCCAGGTATATCTTTTTTGGTGTTTTCTACAGTTATAAATATATTTTAGAGGTATGTCTTTTTCTGCGTTTTCGGCGGTTATAAATACATTTTCGATGTATATCTTTTTCTGCTTTTTCTACTGTTATAATTACATTTTCTCCTAATATTTATTTCATTAGAACACCCAAATCCAACGAGAGATTTGTTCGCCGGATTGGTAACTGCCAAACGTCCTATTGATATTTGCTAATTTTTGTTTAGTCTGATTCAAGATCACAATTGTGGATGCCATAGATCGAACTCACGATATTTGCGAATTCAGCAAGATCGTGTCGCAATTAATTTCATCTCTACACCCCACTCACTGTTTCCTTGTTTCAATGTTTCTTGCATAATATTTCAATAGATAATGCATTTCCTGTGTTAACATTAAAACTGACAATGTAAGCCATTATCGACTGGGAATTCATTTGACTAAGCCAAATCTGGTATTTTTGAAGAAATTTACTTAGCATCAATTCCGAGAGCAAGAATAATTGCAATGAAAATCGGCATTTACCTCAATTTTAATTCCTGCATTTTCCGGCTTACAAGACTTTTTTTTCCTTACAAATACCCTGAAAAATATGTATGCGTCTTCCAAGACGAATGTAAGGCAACACACAGGCTCAAGTTAGCTTGGACGGTCACCTAATTGGATTGACTGATAGGGACGTGGATTTGTATGTTGAGTTATTACGCTATAATGTTAGCTATATAATTCAGTCTTTTATATGATGTAACCTCAGTACTTAGGTGTTACAAGTATTTCCAATACTAAAAACCTTCCTGGAGCCGAGCCACAAGCTTAAACATGCTCTGTTTACTCGCTCAGAGCCATTTTTAATCATTGGTCTGAGAAAATGGTTGTATAGAGCTGACGGTTTAGAAATTTCCGAATGAATTTGGTGCCATGCATGACATCTATATGAATGTCTCGATCTGACGAGGCTTTTTAGGAAAATGATTTGAGTTTTCATGTTCAGGTTGGTCTCAATTTGCGGTGTTGGGCAAAACTACCTCCAGGGTAGCATATTCTATGTTCAATTTAATCCAAGTTTAAAAAATCTACGAAGGTAAGTCAAAAATTATTCGCACTTCCGCCATAGCATATCTTTAAACAGGAGTGTGAATAATTCTTGACTTTCCCCCGTAAATAATGATAACTCCTCACTCTAAAAAGTCAAACAGAAATTATCGAATCGGTGATAGACTAAAGGCAATAATAACAACAAAGATTAGGACAATAGTTTGGGTGTAAATAATGTAAGTAATGATAAACCCTCACCCTAGACATTCTGATAAAACTGAATCACATGGATGTAACGTTTGTTAATGTAGGAGAACGTGTACACGATTCTATATAGTACATAATGCCAGGTAAGGAAAGCGAGAAGAAAGGACTAATCATTAATTGCAAGAAGAAAGAATTCAAGGTTGTTAGCAAAAGGGACAGCTTAAAATGCAGTTTACAAATTGGAGATCCCAAAGTCAAACAAGAAGAATAATTTAAATATCTGGGATGTATTTCAATAGATGATGGAAAGGGCGACACTAAAATATGAAAGCGCATTCGGATAACGAATCCTGACTTCCAAAAGTTAAGCAAAGTATTAAGAAACAGAAAAATCTCATTAGAAACAAAGAAAAGAGTACTGTTGTAATATCAGTCCACCAATGTGCTTGGGAATGCTGGACAATCTTTTCATGGATGAAAAAGACACTTAAAGCAACAGAAAGATTGTTCTACAGAAGGATGCTGAGAATACCATGAACCGAACATGTGAATAGCGACGAAGTTTTAGAGAGAATGGAATCAAAAAGAACAGTTATATAACATCAGGAAGAGAGTTGAAATTCCTTGGCCACATAATGAGGAAAGAGGGCTTGGAAAATTTATACTCACAGGGCAGATTGAAGGCAAGAGGAAACTAACGCACAACTTACCTAGCGAGCTTGAGTAAATGGATGACGGATCAGGGTTTAGGATAGATAACAAAAAGACAAAATTTGTTAAGGGCTACAAAAAACAGGAAATTGTGGTGAGCCATGATCGCTAACGTCCTAAAGGGACGTGGTACATGAAAGAAGAAGAAGAAGATGTCCTTGTTCTCCTGGGCTTTATAGACACCAAGGCATTTCTCCGATCTTACTAGTCTTGATGCGGTGGGGAGGTGCTGTCTAGGGGAAAAGTCCCCGAGTAACAAGCTTCTGTTGGTTAATAGTTTCCAGTCATAAAAAAATAAAAAAACTACAA